ATTCAAATTCGGAACCTGTATTCGCATCCATTATGTCTCTCAAACGCCTAAATATATCTTCATCATCATTTGATACGAGTGTTGAAGTGCCTCGATTGTTGCATCTTGTCAAAGCTACTATCATGAGTAGTCTAACATGGCCGTACAAGTGTGCAATCTGCCTAACTCACTCTTACTTGATTAATATAGGAAGTCACGCTCGTACGAATAGAACATATCAAGTATCAACATGGACTGCTTAAAAAAAATACCACATATACAAAATGTAGATAATGTTTACAAAAAATTTCGCTAGCGTAATTTAAACGGGACTATATTAAGTTGATGTCACGATGTCCTTTTTGATGTAAAGGCTTTGTCAAACGAAATGATTCAGCAAAATTCAAACTCTTTCTTTTCTCTATTCTATAAATTATTTTTTCTCATCAAATAAATTTAAAGTCGTAGATAATACTAACTAGAGATAAATTTTGAACTCGATTGTCTATTGATTAGATATGAATGTCAAGTATCAAAAGTCTTTCTATACATTGCCACATAGATAGAAACATTGGAGACACTCTTATCAAACTTTTAATTTGATAAGTTTTAAACCAAGTAGAGGATTTGTAATGTTATTAGCACACCATACTATTGGTCCACATACACGCAAAAGACTGTAAGGGCTCGGTTCGACCTTTTATTTTAGGAATCAGTCCATCTCCAAAATTGTTCAATTTTTAGTATGCCTTTAAGCGGACTTTTTTTTATCGATAAATGTAAATTTCATTGATAAAAAAATTATGTATAATTACACTGAGCATATCTAGACAAATCAAAAATCAAAAAATTTACAAATGACAAAGATCTATCAAGCGGGGCCCTTTTGTTGTCGTATAAATTGAAGTGCACATGATTTGGTAATCAGATTTTCAGCCTTTACTTCACCCGACCTTGCTCGTGGCTCGTGTGCACCGACAGCGGAAATTTGCTATTTTTAGCACCATTGAATTAAAAATGTGAGATCCGGGTGGGATCCACGCGGTCCAACGCATTTTGGCTGCATCTGGATCTGAAATTATACCCATTACTACTATTTGTCTTCCAGTTTTAAATGTTGGGAAAGAATCTATTCCGCGAGAGAGAGAGCAATTTCCTCGTAGTCACTTAAAATCTTAGCATCCGTTCGATAGCAAAGGTGAAAAAGAAGAATCAATTTCATATAAGTTGAAAAAAAACCCACCAAAACTATAAAAATTCGATTTTCATAAAATTGACAAAAAACATGCTTTAAATGTTTGCACCTTAAAATTTGAACTCTATTTATACTTTCGTATTAAAAGTCAAGGTAGAAAACGAATTCCTCGATTGTAACATTTTTCATGAAATAAGACGCTATCAAACAGACCCTTAGTGTTTGTTTGGGCTCCTTTAAAATTTTAAATTGTTTGATGTGCAAGTAGTAAAGTTCTTTTTTTCTCTATCATTAGGGATCTATCATGTTTATTTCCTCAAGTGCTGAGATGTCTAGTTCTGTTTTTAATTGTTAGAGTATATCCTGTAAATTTTTAAAAGATTAGGGATCAAATTTGTTAATTTTCTTTTAATTAATTAGGCATTTCTTATTTTTAAGCACCTTTCTCATCTATTAACTCAAACTCCAAACTCAAAATTCTTGCCTGTCTCTACCTAAAACTAATGTTAATTATTTGTAAGATAACTCAAAATTCTTGATTGTGTGATTATAAGTACTTATAAGTATTGAGATTCACTTAAAGTACGCTTGATTGACATGTTGTTTCGAGGAAAATAAAATAAAATAAAATTCTTAGTCTCCAGAGTAAATATTTTTTTCCGAAAGAGAGGAAAATTAATTATATTTTCAAAGGTTGAAATTTTTTTATTTTCTTATAGGAAAAGAGAATCAAACACTCCAAAAATTGAAACTTGGACGAAAAAGTCATTTTCCATAAAAGGATATTTCCATTAAATGACATCCTTGCTTCTTTCTTTCCCAGGTAATAGTTGCCTTTTTACCAAATCTCAGATCCACCAAACCCTCTAAATCTCAACCGTCTATTTATACCCTCGTTCTACCTCCAATTTCGCTGCCACACTACCAAAATATCCCAAATCTCAGATCCAATTACACAAAATGGCTCTTCTAGTGGAGAAAACCACCTCCGGCCGCGAGTACAAGGTCAAGGACATGTCCCAGGCTGACTTCGGCCGCCTTGAAATCGAGCTGGCCGAAGTCGAAATGCCCGGGCTAATGTCCTGCCGTACTGAATTCGGCCCCTCCCAGCCCTTCAAAGGCGCCAGAATCACCGGCAGCCTTCACATGACCATCCAAACCGCTGTACTGATTGAGACCTTGACTGCTTTGGGCGCTGAGGTGAGATGGTGCTCTTGCAACATCTTTTCCACACAGGACCACGCTGCAGCGGCCATTGCTCGGGATAGCGCGGCGGTGTTCGCCTGGAAGGGTGAAACACTCCAGGAGTACTGGTGGTGTACTGAGCGGGCTCTCGATTGGGGACCTGGTGGGGGACCCGATTTGATTGTGGATGATGGTGGCGATGCTACTCTTCTCATTCACGAAGGCGTCAAGGCCGAGGAGGAGTTCGAGAAAAGTGGGAAGGTTCCCGATCCGAGTTCAACTGACAATTCGGAGTTTCAGATTGTGTTGACAATCATTAGAGATGGATTGAAGACGGATCCGAAGAAGTACACCAGAATGAAGGAGAGACTTGTTGGTGTGTCTGAGGAGACCACCACTGGTGTGAAGAGGCTGTACCAGATGCAGGCTAATGGAACACTGTTGTTCCCTGCTATCAATGTCAATGACTCTGTCACCAAGAGCAAGGTACAGGATCTAAATTTTATATCTGCAACTTCCATTTGTGTTAGATCTCACCTTTAGTTTTGCATGACTACATTTGAATTAAACGAAATCGAAAAAGATCTTGCTTAATTTAGTTAAAATTTTTTATCAGATCTGAAGTGTTCGTTTTTACTAGGATCAGACCTATAATTTCTGATTCAAGTAGTATTTCTATCTGCGCTTGTATTACATAAATGTGAGCTATATTAAGAATAAAAGTTGGAATTGCTTATTTTCCAGAGAGGTGGTTGTTTATTGCTTGTTCAGTAAGAAATTTAGAAAATATATGAATTTGCTGTATCTTGGCTTTCTTGAATCAAATAAGCACCTGATGGTGATTCAGAAACAAATAGAAAGCTCACGTCTCACCTTGTTTGACAGCTTACTGTGGCTTAATGCTTATACCTGTGTAATCTCTTCTGTTATAAGAATTTGGGTCCTATATATTGGATTAAATTCAACTCATAAGATATGGAAAGTTACTAGTTGATCCTGCTCAATACTTTCGTGCTGTGTTTGTAGAATAATACAATGCTGTAGAGCTCACCTGGTTTTATTGTCTCAAATTACTATATTTATTTTGTTCGCCGTACACTGACAGCTCTGTTTGATTGTGCTTTGACCAGTTTGATAACTTGTACGGATGCCGCCACTCACTCCCTGATGGGCTAATGAGAGCCACTGATGTGATGATTGCTGGAAAGGTTGCCGTTGTATGTGGTTATGGTGATGTTGGCAAGGGCTGTGCTGCTGCCTTGAAGCAAGCTGGTGCTCGTGTGATCGTGACAGAGATTGATCCAATCTGTGCTCTTCAGGCCCTCATGGAAGGACTCCAAGTTCTAACCCTCGAGGACGTAGTCTCTGAAGCCGATATCTTTGTCACCACCACCGGTAACAAGGACATCATCATGGTTGATCACATGAAAAAGATGAAGAACAACGCCATCGTTTGCAACATTGGTCACTTTGACAATGAAATCGACATGCAGGGTCTTGAGACCTACCCTGGGGTCAAGAGAATCACCATTAAGCCTCAAACGGACAGATGGGTTTTCCCAGAAACAAAAACAGGCATCATCGTCTTGGCCGAGGGTCGTCTAATGAACTTAGGTTGTGCCACAGGACACCCTAGCTTTGTCATGTCATGCTCTTTCACCAATCAAGTTATTGCCCAACTTGAGCTGTGGAAGGAAAAGAGCACCGGGAAGTACAAGAAGGAGGTTTATGTCTTGCCCAAGCACCTTGATGAGAAGGTTGCCGCACTTCACCTTGGAAAACTTGGTGCTAAGCTCACTAAGCTTTCCAAGGATCAGGCTGACTACATTAGTGTACCAATTGAGGGTCCTTACAAGCCTCCACATTACAGGTACTGAGGGAAGTAGAGTTATAAACCAACCATATACATGAAGAATGTGGTCATTGTTTTTCATTATTGTATTAGGTTTTGTAGCTGTGAGTTTTTTGTTTTTGGTGGAAGAAATGGTCTCTTTTGAAGACTAAGGTGTTGGAAATAAGTTTTGCAATTTTACTGTGAGACGACAATGAAGTTGTTGCCATGGAGTAATTGTTCTCAGTTTTCAGTTGTTTTGCAAGAAATGAAAATGCGTTATGTTTGCCTCTTTTCAGTAGTAATTTATACATCTTTTACTTTGTTATAACGCAACCTTTTTGAGATTTCCAATCCAAACAATATCAATTACCAAACATTCTTCCAAAAAATGAAGTTTTGCAATTTTACTGTGAGACGACAATGAAGTTGTTGCCATGGAGTAATTGTTCTCAGTTTTCAGTTGTTTTGCAAGAAATGAAAATGCGTTATGTTTGCCTCTTTTCAGTAGTAATTTATACATCTTTTACTTTGTTATGACGCAACCTTTTTGAGATTTCCAATCCAAACAATATCAATTACCAAACATTCTTCCAAAAAATGAAAAAAAAATTAAAATAAAATAAAATAAAACTTGCATGAAAGTAGACTAGATGCATTTTTTTCGTGGACCACCCGAACTGGATTGGAATGAATATGTTTTCTTTTTAATTTTTAACTAATTTTGTGTCTGAAGATCGAGAGCTAGACAATTACGATTTAATTCTTGGTTCCAACTAAAAGATAACAATAGAAATAAATTATATCGAATTAGAACCAATTGATCGTGATAATATTTGAGCAATGTTATCGATCAACGATCCAAGTCCAAGTGATAGTAAACTTATTGACTGGTTTGCCTTATTTATGTTGTTGGAAGACCTCGATTCATGGTTCATTTCGATTCTCTTCAACTGCAACCAAGCATGCCGTGGAAAATCCATCTCGGGTCTGGGCTCAAAAGAATTTCGTTAAACGGACATCAATTCTGGCCTTATCATATACGCACGGTCTCCATTTTTCAATTCCTTTCCCTTTATCCACATTTTCCATTCCCAAACATTTTTACCCCACCTTCACAAGCACTAAATTGAAAGCGAAAGAATTAGAAGATATACCTTGACTCACATATATTACACGTATGTATGCTGGGAGAAGAATAATTTGAGGATTTGATTGTTAATTGTAATTGTTTTTTGTTTTTGAAGTAACTGTTGTTACTATTAAAAAAATGTTTCTCCAAAAAAAAATGCCAAACTAATTTACTAAATGTAAAGACGAATTGAATGTGACTTAGCTGTGTCGGAGTAAGATCGAATTTTGATTTTTCAAAAATTTGTTATAATTTGGAGATTCGATTCCTGTCAAAGCATTTGCGTTCTTTCTGTCATTGGTTTTGATGAAAAGTGTTAAATATTCGGTTTACATTCCGTCAGAAAACCACTTTCGCAAATTGAATCGGATATTCCTTTCCTTCTGTACTCCCTTTTTTTTTCCTGAAGGGTTTTTTTGGTTACAGAGAGGTTGGTATACTTACGGTTGAGGTTTTCCAGGGTTCTCGAGGCTGATCAGACTTCGGAGGCGTGAATTTTCCAACAGAAATAGGATTGATCGCGAATTTCTGGAACTTGAAGGATCCAATTGGAATTTCCGAGCTTTCCAGGATGAACTGCTCTCTGTAGATGACAGAATTAGTGGGAGATGGATTTGATCCTCCTAGGAATTGAGCTCATGAATCACCTAGCAATCCGAGAACAGTGATTGGTGTAAAGTAGCTGTTTTAAGGGCATGGAAGAGGACTGCTCATTTGATTAGATTTTATAGCCGGTGGAGAAAGGACATTTTAGGGATTAAGGTGATAATAAGTTATGAGTTTCGATATTTTCACGCTGTTTGTTTGAGTTGGGAATGACTTGTGCCATAAATTTTGACCACATGGCAGAGGAGGTGAGAGTGATGACCATCAAGTATCATCGGCTAAATAGACCAAACACAAAAGCATCTATCAAAGAAATCTTTTCCTTTCTCCAAAACCTTGTGGATTAACTTATTTCTCTCGAAGCTTGGCTTCAACAGCTCTGAATTCCACAAGTCTGTATCCGGATCTAATCCAACGCTCATTTAATTTCTACAAAAATTGCAACTTGAATTGGGGTTGAGTTTGACAAGTTCTTATTTCGAATCTGCTATTGTATTTTGGAGACAAGAATTGGTGTATTTGGCTCGAGGCTGGAATTAAAGTTTCGATTTTCGTGTGCGCTCAGAAGCGAGGACCTGATTTGGCTTCTGGGCTAGTGGACAGGAGTTCACAGGGTGTAGCGAAGCTGTAAATTCAATGCAGCGTCATGGTGCATGGACAGAAATATTGTTGCCTGTCCGTTTGCATACTGGATCACCCCTACCGTGTGGAAACAGTCCAAGCACTCTGTTTTCGTGACTGTTATTACTTTTCTTGTACTGGGATAGTGTACAATGTCTCGCTGCTTTCCATTTCCCCCACTAGGATATGAAAGAGAGCATAGGCCTGAAGACTTGGATGCATGGAAAGAGGTATGTTTATTTTTTCCTCTCTGCTGTTATCTTGTCTGTCACTCTTTAAATTTCGCGTTTGTCATTTCCTTTCCTGGAGATGGTGGATGTAACCAATGGATGGAATTCTGTAGTTTTAGTTTTGCTGTGCCAGCATTTAAGTTGAGCCCTTTTGACTTTACCATCCTCGCATCGTAGTTCCCCAAGTTCATAGATAGTATAGCTCATTCTCCAATTTTTAGTATGTTCAGCACTCCAATAGGCAACACTTTCATGCTATTTTTCGATGCTTTGATTACAATGAAGGCACCAGCCAGTTGTTTAACATTGTGAATGAAATTTGTTGGAATGGCACTACCAGTTCACCAACTTCGGTCTTGTTTCTTAGTTAAACCAATATGTCAATGAAGTACTTCAGTATTTTTATTGGTGACGTGTGATATATCTCCCTGAGTCAGAATTTATGAACCTTCAGTTTGTTGTATCTTTGCTCTATTAGCATGGTACATAATTAGTATATTATCTATTCCGATCTTATTGCAATTAATTTCACATATGTTTTTCTGCTACCTGCTTTATGGAATGAGGGGAAGTATACAATAAGAGGAAGTCGGTGAATTTATATTTGTTGAATGTCTGTGTTATATGTTAAATTCTAATGTGTTTTCGTGACTTACAGTGCGTGAGTCCTACCTTAGTGCTGGCCTGAATGTTGATCTGATATAGAACTGTTCTAATGCGGTCAGTGGTGATATCAATTATATATACATACATGTTTTGATGGGTTGGGTGTGTATGAAAAAAGAGGAACACAGAGTTGGGTTCAGAAGGGTCCTGGGCATGTAGGGTTTTCTAAAATTAAGATGGACTTGGCTCCTGTTGGTGGGGATTAAAATTAGATTTTTACGATATTTTGATAAAAGTTGATAAAATGTGGTTGAAAAGTTGTGGTTAAAATTAATTATTGACTTTGAGTTAGCCTACCAAATAGGGGCCAAGTAAATCAAGGGTTGGAACTACTGTTATTGGTGCCGTGAACTACTAAACAAAGAACAGTTGAGATAATGGTTCTTAGAGCAATACGTTTCTTGTTAGACCATGAGCATAGAGAGCACTCGATGGACTAGGTGAGTAAGAAGTAATTTAGCATGATCTAGTATTGCTTGAAGCATCTAAGAAACAAGTGATGCAAATTTAAGGAAATACTCAGAGAAATAAAAAGTGTAGAGTCTCTTTTGCACCTGACACTTCAGGGAAATGATGACATATAAATTATCTTTAGTTGATCACTAATGAAATGTCAGTTATCTCCTAAAACGTGAACTCCTATTTAGACCTTTAGGGCCAATATGAATAATTAGAAAAATTCATGTCCAAACAACATCAAGGAAAAAAAAGTAAGCCTTATTTCCGACATTTGCTGCCAAAGAACTGACACTGTGTACTTAAATCTAGTGTAGTATAGATATTGGAACTTGAAAAGTAATCATGTGAATTCCCAGTTAGATTTATCGTTGTTCTCAAATTTCTCAATTAAATGATTAGGTGCCAAATCTATAACATTTGAGTAATTCGGAAAATAGTAGAGTTCTCTATGAAAGATTGAAAGATCCATCATTGCATTAGAACTTTATGCAGAAGCTTGCTGCTGTTTCTGTGATGGCTACATGGAGCAGTCAGTCTGCCATTTACATTTCTTGGTAGAGGCATCCTCTAGCACCATGATTCAGCATGAAGGTTGTGTGTTTGTGAATACTGAATATAATTCTAATTATGTACAATCTGCATGGAAGGAGGAGTCTTTACAGTGACTGCCTTTATAATAATGTATATGAAGACTGAAACAGCATGAATTTCGTACACAATCACCTAATGAATCTATATACAACACATTTATCAACCTAATTTCCTCTGTAGCTCAATGCAAAATCACTACGTAGGTTGGGGAGATTGATAACTAATGCCATACTGGAATTTTAGCATTTCAATGATCAAGAAAACTGTTATAAGAAATTTTCTTTTCATAAGTTCGTATTGAAATTTGCTTTTCTAATCATTGATTGTTCTGGAGTGTTTCTGAGGTTATCCGACTCTTGACTTAATAATTTCTACTACTATTCATCACTGATCTATCTACATACTCTGTACTCTGCTTCCTTTCTTGCATGACGAGATGAGCCTACAAAATTGGCTATGGGACTATTGGAAACACTGCATTTGATGCCGCTGTATGCTTCCAGTGATTGAGAATTCTTTGGGTTTGAATTTCAAATCAAATTCCACTGACAGATGAGGTAATTATCGAAAAATTGGTCACTATAAAATGAGTGATGAGGAGCTTAAGTTGGTAAGAATCTTAAGCATTTACGCGAGTGCAAAAATCAGAAAACTTGTGATGAGAAATAAAAGCATGTCAAACTCAATACACCATTTGTTGTATTCTTAATAGGGCAATACACCGTCCATATGTTCCATTTAAAATTAATATAGATGTTTGTTCATTGGTCCTGGATATTCTTCTCATAATTTAAGTGTGATCATTCAAAACTATGTAGCGTATGGGGAATTAGGAGGATTGGGCATACTGTCTGTTCAGGTTTAAGCCAGTCCATGTAATGTGTCAGAAAAAATAACTAATCATTTTTCATTTTTCTTGATCTGCCAAGATCATCATTATGCAGGGATATTTTGTATAATTGGAATTCTATTGAAATTAGTTAGTTGGGAAAACCATTTCTCTTTCTCCTTTCTGCTTTATGAGACTAAGGCTAGATATAACTTCTAAAAATACAAAAGATAAAGCAGATTACAGAAAAAACATTTATCAAGAGCATGACCTTTACTTTATCCCCTTTCAAGAGTTCCTGAATAGAAAGTCAGATCAGCTCAATGAAATGTGCTAAAAACGATTTTCACAGAATTAATACGTCAAAGCCTCAAAACAAATGTTTCGCTGCATATATTAGATTAAAGGAATCCATTTCTACTTAAGAAATCTACTTCCTGCGTCTGAGCTTCCTACTGGGGTATTGCCGTTGAAAGAAGTTCTCTTTTGTTGCTGCATTTAGCAATGAGTTGCATCCTTCGATGCATATTTAGATGTTATTCTATGGGTGCGACAGATCATTTGTATGAAACATTTGTCGATTCAGTCATACTTTCCCGCTTACCGCCAGCCATTATGAAATTAAGGAAGAAAGACCTAACACAATTAAGTTTTAAAAAAAATAAATCAGAAGAAAGTTTGGAAACCATTTCAAATCAGGAGGGTCGTTGAAAACAAAAGTAACTCTAAACAACAAACTAACATCAAACTAAGCCTAATTCCCAGTATATTTGGGGTTGGCTAAAACAAAAGTAACTCTATAGGGACAAAAAGAACTTCTAAGATATGTTATATGAATACTAAATTGTGTAAGGTGCCATGACCATTTATTGCTCTCTCTTTTGCATGGAACTCCAGTTCAATTTATCTTGCTTGTGTGCTTGGAAGCTTGTTGATATATCTTCCTGCTTACTTATGGAGGATGAGGCGGTCCTCTTTCCATTGTGGAATTGAAACTGATTTGTGGTTATTTAGCATTTCATGAAAATGCATTCCTGAGAAGTTAACTCATAAATGAAATGCCCTCATGCAGCTAAGCTAACTATAGTTTTTGTATTACATAATTCGAGCATAGAATCACATTTGTCTATACACATGTCTGTATCGGTTTCTAGTTTTCTGATTTTCGCTAATATGCTTGCATTAATATGAATACTTCAGCGTACACATGCTGTGAGGGAGATGGTAGTGTTACCTTGTATAACACATAAAGGTGAGGGAGATAAGGAAAAAGCAAGAGAAAATAAGAATTCTTTTGACAGATGATTACGTATACTGATGCATCTTTTCTTCATTGTCCCACGATTCTTCCAAGCAGTTTGCAATCATGCTTGCTTAGAAATTTACTTGTGTAGTGATTTATGGTGTATCCATTAGATTTTTATTGATTTACTCAGTTCTCTATTTAATTGAAATTCCTATACAAGATTATTTTTCTTCAAGGGTATTCATCTTCAACTATGATTTATAATATTTCGTCTTCTAAAGTCATGTTCTACTTCAGTCATGGTTCAAATGCTGCTATTTCATTCAGTAAATTTTAATTTATAGTTTGAGTAGAATGTGCTGATAATTCTCGTGGTCTTAGGAAAATCATAAAGAGAAGAAGCAAAAAAAGGAGAAGAAGGACAAGGAAAGAAGAGAAGGTAAGGGGAAAAGGGGAAAAGAAAGAAGTGATAAAAAACACGGGGAAAAGAAAGATCAAAAAGAAAAACACAAGGACAAGAAGGAAAAACACAGGGTCAAGAAGAAGGAGAAGAACAGGGAAAAAGACAAAGAGAAGAACAGCATCTCTGATGAGTCAAATGTTGCTGAGAAGCTTGAGGAAAGTAGTGAGGATATGCTTCATTCGAAAGGACACAGCAAAGTTAAAAGCAGTTTCACAGATGAGGCGAAACATGCTACACTTTTTCTGGATCAAAATGGAGGGAAGCTTATTCAAAGTAGCCTTCTTCTTCAGGGAACTGAGATGTCAAAATTTGTGCAGGAGCTGGACAGGAGAATCAGAGATGATGAGAAGGGCGCAGAGAGCCAGTTGATAAGCAGAATATCTGGTTTGGGCAAAATTGATCAAAAGGAAGCTGCAAGAGCTGGTACCAAGGGTTCTTCAGAAGTATTGGCGGATGACAAGGGAAAGAACAAGGATCAGAGAGTTAACAGTAGAAAAATTGACATGCAAAGATTCAGGGAAGAGTTTAGTGCAAAGACTATGGTCCAGAACAATGCTGGAACGGCCAAAAGTAAAATTGAAGCAATGCCCAGACCAATGGAGGAACACAAGGATAGCAATGCAAGTACATGTCTATTGATGGACATTAGCAGAAATACTGTCGACGAGGGAAATATCAGGAGAATAAAAGATGTGAGTACCAATGGTTTTCTTCATGGTGAGTCCGCTGATACAACAGAACATTATAACAAAATTTCAACTATTTCAAAAGCTCGTGTTTTAGTTTCTATTGTGGCTATGTGAATCAGGAAAGCTTATAAGGCACTGCCTTACATTTTATGCATCTTTAGGATGCTTTCGTCAGGTCTCTTGTGACTTCATCGGACTCTGTTAGAATTTGATATCGTGGTGAATTTGCATAAGCATGTTCAACTGCAGTTAACACTTCTCTATAGGCTGATTAGTGTTGCTTATTTTACAGAGACCGAAGTCAGGCCAAATAAATTGCAGAGGCTCACTCCTCACCAGTTGACAGAGAATGAAAGAAAATTGAAGCTTGCCAAAATCCCAATGTATCTGCTTCATATAAAAAGTTGTCTCCTTTTAATATTCACTTGGATAATGAGGATCGGAGGGTGACTGGTACTTCCGAAGCCGGGAAACTGTATCCATCTAAACCTAAGCCTTCAATTGCTACTATGACTATTAATCAAGTTGCTGAAACATCAAAAAAATCTGTCCATCCAGATTCCAAGTTTCCGAATGAAATCCTTGGGATACCCAAGATGGAGAATCTAATTGCTGAAGCTTCAAGGAGGCCTTCCATCCAGATTCCAAGTATTTTAGTGAGATTCTCAGAGTACCCAAGATGAAGGAGTTGCAAACTGATGAACAGGAGTGGTGGTTTTACAAGAAAGATCCTCCATCGAATAAGCCCGAGGTGGGGTTTTGGGAGGTCAGGGAAGACTTGATTGTATGGTCTGAAGCAATGTATATAGAACCAGCTGATGTTTATGCTCTGCCGTATGTCATCCCTTACTGATCATTGTTGTTAATTTAGCACACAATGAACCCAACAAGCATTGTTGATTATGCCATGGCACCTGGCTGCTGAAATTTTTTTCAGTCAATCAGATTCCACCGCATAATTGTCTCCTGGTGATAGCATGGCTCGTCTTCCAAGGTCCTGGGTCGTTATTGATTTATATTGAGAAGAGTCCTGCAGGGAGATGCAAAAGCGCCTGCAATTCATTTCATTGCTTTAAGCCGGTGCACTTTCCTTTCTAATTAGTGTAGAAGTAACTTTAGTTTCACATCACCATAATTTTGATTTGTAACATAGAACTATTTGCATGAAATGTAAGATAGAAAGGAAAGAGGGGGGGGGGGGGGGGGGGGGGGGGGGTTTTTTTTAGATAGAAGGGAAAGAAAGGGGTGGTTCGATTCATTTCATTAAATTCAACTGCAATCCTTGTTTATAATCCCATTTTCCAGTTTCCCTGGCATTGATAGTTGTTGCTGGTTAAATATATTTTTGGTTAAAAATAACCATACAGTCTACTCCCAATACTTTTAATATATGACTATAGTATGTTTACTCAGGAGAATTGGATAGCATCGATTTGGTTGGGTAGTATCGGTGCTAATTAGGCAACTTTTTTTTTGCTTTGCATATCCTGTCATACCCGATGTCCACTATCGTAAATACTATGCAGGGCTTCTTTTTTGATATCTAAGCATTAGGATATAATCTCGAACCTTAGTTGGAGAATCTCTCAGTACAAATAGAGTGATGATAGTCGTCTTTTAATGGTAAGTGAAATTATTTTTGTGTCGAATAACTCTCATTTTTTTTAGGGAACGTGTAGGCTGCTGGTTTGGGATTTTGAATCCAACCAAAATAAATGCTATAGGCCCTGAATCATTAGTCTTAGGTCCATAATAAAACTTAATTTATCTTGGTTTCAATTACTGAGATGAATGATAGAGTTCACGTACTTTACATTTAAGGGTTCGTTCGATTGTAAAGGTGAAATTTAGGTGGAAAAAAAATGAATTTCAGGGAATTGAATTGCCTAGAAATTGTTTTCCTTGGAATTGTTAATTGATAGTGTTTGATTGGTATAATTTTCCACTTGAAAAATGTTAAAATAAAAAGTGCTTTTTAGTGTTCGTTTGACTTTGTTTTATATGGAAATTGTTAATATAAGGGATATTCACTTTTTCCATTGTTCCTAGAATTTTTTTTCATTGCCAACCAAAAAAAAAAAAAAGAAAAAAAAAAAAAAAAAAAAAAAGGAAAAAAAAAGATCAAAAAATCATCTGTATTTTGGTATTCGTTTGACTTTGTTTTACATGAAAATTGTCAATTTAATGGAAATATTTTTTTACAATTAGGGATAAAATTTATTTCTATTGCAAAATAATAATAATAAATATAAATATAAATATAAATGAAAAATAAAAATCTGCTACAGTAACATGGAACTTGAAAATTCTCACCAGTATGGTGAGAATCCAAATTCCATGAAATGGTGGAAAATGTCTACGTGGCCAAGGTCCATGGAAATGGCTTTTTATGAAAAATTTATCTTGTCAAACGCCACAAATATTGAAAAATGGAATTGATTTTTCATTTTTCATGGAAATTTTTGGGCAATCAAACAGGCCCTTATTGGTGCATTTAAGGCTGTTGTCAATTTATGTTGTGAACTTCAGACAGCACTCTTTTTGCCATCTGTCCAATTTTTGAGTCCACAAACTGTCAATGGATTGGACACTTTTACTACAATGCCAACTACCTTCTGCCCAAATAAATTGTCAAGGGAAAAAAAAGCATCTGGTACAAGCTTTTATGACAGAAATTTGATAGGGTACTGTCGTGTCAGCAATCAGCACCTTGCTGGGCCCTTTTTTTTTTTTTTTTTTAATTAAACTTTCAATGAAAGCTCATATGGTACAAGTTTTTATGATAGAAATTTGATAGGGTGCTCGTGTCAGCACTCAGCACCCTGTTGGGCCCTTTTTTACTTTTTTCTCTCAAATTTTCAATGAAAATCTGTCAAGTGTTGTTTCTATAAAATTTCTATTGATTTTTTCTGTACTTATAACATTGTTGTTGTCAAGAACAGTGCTAAACTTGTAGAACTGCTTCGCATAATTTTTTTTTACAAGTAACACTTGGCAAAAATTCATTCAAAGTTAGTGGAGAAAAAACTAGATCCAATCATGTGCTGCCAATACATAAAAGTTCTGTAAACCAAAAGCCTGTTCATATGGCTTTTTCAATCATCAAACATTATGTGCAACCTAAAAGAACTTCTTTGCTAGTTTTGAGTCGAAACTTTTTATCGGGCTTGATTCCTGATTTGTTCTTCATCCCGTTGCAGTTTTTAGGCATTTTGATGAAATGAAATTATTCCTAGTGTTAATTGCTTACAAGTTATCCTAAGAGTAATAGGACTTGTAGTTAGTGTCCCAATTGTATAATAAGTGTGCCTAATATGTTTAAAACGATGCGAGTCGGGCCAAAGCTGCGACGAACTATATTCGTTAACCAAGTTTGTTCAGTCCCCCCTATTTGTCTCCCTTTCTTTTATTATTATTTTTTTTTGCTCAAACTCATTTCCAACCACACATTCATATAATAAAATATTTTGTACTTAAACCCATCCTTTTTCTACTTTTTATCTATACATTCTTAGAAAAAAAAATCACCATTTCAAAAATTATTTTCCCTCATAAACTCTTTAAAAAGGAAGACAATCAGGGACAAAATTTTATCAATACAGATTAAATCTTATTCTCATACAGCCATAATTTCCTAGTGAATTTTGAAGTTTTTTTTTTTTTTTCGTTAAATGTAAAATTTCATAGATCAAAACTCATTTACGAGTACAGTGGGCATACTCGGACAATCAAAGATCAAGTACAAATACAAGTATGTTGGACATATCCAGACAGTGAAAAATCAAGTGAAGTACAACTACTTCAAGCATATTTGGACAAACAAAATGGAAAATAACGTACAAACGATAGGCACTAAGGAAAACAACTCTTTTGATTGAACAAAAGAGTGCCAACTTGCAACATTTATTTGTCTGACCAATTGCAAGGCTTTCAACTATGTCGTATTAAATGCTGTTATAATTTGGTAACACTCACTATTGCCAGATATCACTATGAAATAATTTCCCCATTTTCACTTCCAATGGTGCCAAGTAATTCTAAAAAATAGAAAAATAAAATAAAAACTGTGCCTGATTATTCCGACTCCCCTAACCCTATATTCTTTCCTTCATCGATCCCACTATACTCTTATAATTGAGCTAGACATGTCGAATAAGAAAAGAAGTTAAAATTTCGTTCTATCTTATTAAATACTGCAACGTCGAACATGTTATGCAGATTGACCAGATGGACTCACCGCCATTACTAGCAGTAACAATAAGCTTACTACTCTTCCACATTAATGGAGGCCTCTCCTTTGAGATTCAGATTCAAATACATGATGATTCCTTAACTCGTCGAACATTAAGTTATTGAAATTTAGCCACTATTTGGTGTAGATTAAAATCTACTAAAAATTTCAAGTCAAAGTCAACGACTAATTTAAATTACAGGTTTCATGGGATCCACAACTTTTCAATTATATATTTTATAAACTTTTATCAAAATCTACTTAAAATCTGATTTTAGTCTATACAAAACGGGGGTTTATTCTCTTTAACGATTATATGTCAAAAACAGGGGCTTATTCTATTTAATCTATGCGAAACTGGGGATGTTTTTTTTCCCTAACTAGCATTACACACCTCTCTCTCTCTCTCTAAAAACAAAACCCTAACCCTAATATCATCAAAGTCACAAACAATGGTGTCTTCCATGGCAGGAGGGTTGATCCATGACATAAAACTATCCTCGGTCGGGCCGGGAAATGTGACCGAACCTGACATGGTTCACGAGCCTAGTGACATGAACTTGGCAATGAAGCTTCACTACCTTAAAGGAATCTACTACTTTGGCAAGCAGGCATTTGAGGGCCTTACTACACTCAACATGAAGGAGCCATTGTTCATATTGCTAGACCAGTACCCGGATATCTGTGGACGGTTTCGTCGAACTGAGTCAGGCCGGCCTTACATCAAATGCAATGACAGTGGTGTGAGATTCACTGAAGCAAAGTGCGAGAAAACAATGGATGAATGGCTGGATATGACCAAGAAGAATGCCTCCCTTGAGAAGTATCTGACTCCAAATCAGATCATTGGTCCTGAATTAGCATTTTCTCCCACTTTTCTCTTACAGGTATGAGTCAACAAGATTTTAACTTTATCTTCTTTTTAAAATAATGTTTGGCACATTGAATTAGACAAAATTGAATGTAGATAATCTGACAGACACATACTAAACATTCTAAGCTCCAGAAGTGTTACATGTATATAATTGTCTATATAATGGTGTCCATAATTATACGTGGTACTGAATCCAATCTTTAATTTAAATCTCCCACTTGCACATCAACAATCGGATGATTATCACATCACATTATGAACACCATAATGTGCAATAATTATGTATAAGTAGAATTGTTCAGCAATTCAAGACTCCAAAAAATGAATTTTCTAACTGTTATATCAATATTCCAATCGTCATTTTGACTTCCTTATTTACAGGTGGGACCCGCTTTTTCACTCTAATGATCAAAAAATACAATTCTTATAATCACTATCGAACATACCCTAAATTTTATAAAAATTTACTAAAAACTTAATTTTTATCTAAACCAAATAAAATTATAAAGCGCCACAGTTTGCTGAATTTTCAATTGTTGTCGTTAGTTTTTTATAAACACTCAAATTTGTATACACCATATATAAAAGATAACAATATATTTTCATATTTCTTGTATGAATCCCTAAGGAAATATTTGATTGTAAGCATGAAATTTACATGAAAAGAAAATAAGTTCTGAGCAATCAAATTATCTAAAAATTATTTGCATAAAAGTTATTAATTAAATATAATTGATTGGTCTAATTTGCAATTTAGAAAATGTTATATTTCTCCATCTTTCATTGGTGGGTAAATGAGAGAGTGGGGTAGATGGGAGAGAAAGATACTGAATTGTATAGAAAATAAAAACTTATCCCTCCCAAAAAAAATATGATCAAGTAACTAACTTTTGAAAAATATTTTTCGTGGAATAAAATGTTAATCAAATACTCCAAAAGCAGGAACCTAGATGGAACAATGACATTTTTCATGAAAAATAAAGCCAATCAAACATACCCTAAATTCTGTACTTGATGAAATTTGATCAATTTGAGTATCGACATAGAGCTGGCCAAGAAACGACTTGACCTTATTAGCTGGCAACCTTATTTTCAGATTACTTCTTTCTTGTCTTTTCTTTTGATAGGGAAAAAAAGAAGTAATCTAACATCGTTAATATTTTAAATTGGGCTTATTTTTGGGCCTTGTGTACAGTATACTAAGTTCAAATGTGGAGGAATGTCTGTGGGCCTGAGCTGGGCCCATGTTCTTGGAGATGTATTCTCAGCAGCAGAATTCTTGAACCTGTTGGGACAGGTAGTGGCAGGTAATAAGCCCAACAGGCCCATTAAACTGGGTCAGATGAAATCAAAGTCCACCAATTCTGAAAGCCCACTAAAGGTGATGGAAGATCCACTTTCCATCAAACGGGTCGGCCCGGTTGGAGACAATTGGATAACCGCCAATAACTGTAAAATGGAGGAATTTACATTCAATGTCAATGCCACACAATTGAGTCATTTACAGTCAAAACTACTTAGCAATGGCACGAATTTTTCTCCATTTGAGGCTCTCTCTGCTGTAATTTGGCAATGCATAGCGAAAATTCGAGGCAAATCGGAAACAAAAGTTGTGACAATAAGCAAAAAGAGTGAACAAAACAAGGCAGATGGGAATAATCAACTTATAAGTTTTATTAAAGCTGATTATCCCATTGTGGAAGCCAAACCTAGTGAGCTAGCAACACTGATAAAAAACGCAGCATTCGACGAAGGAGAAAAGATCGAAAATGCAATCAAGAAAGACAGCGGAGTATCTGATTTCATTTTTTATGGCGCGAATCTAACTTTCGTGAATCTTGAAGAAGAGAAGTTTTACGAATTTGATTATCGTGGAGAAAAGCCAATTCACGTTAGTTATCGAGTCAATGGTGTTGGTGATGAAGGGGCTGTTTTGGTGCTCCCAGGGCCGCCGAAGAACGGAGGGAGGACTCTTATGGCAATGTTGCCTGAGAAGGAGGTGATCGAGCTTAAATCAGAGCTGAAAAGAGAGTGGTTTATGGATTAAATAAAATTTCTTGCTAAGTATTTATTAGCTTTTGAACGTGGGGATGATCTTATCTATGTAGTTTTATATGCAGTTTCATTTTCTACGAATCCTATTTCTAGAATTTCCTTAAATCAAAGCTGAAATGCAGAGCTACAATTGAGCCATGAATTGCCAAAAAACAAACAAACTATTCACAACAGATGTTATATATTATCTTATCTGACCCACAGTTTTGGTCACAACATATGTTACCTATATTTGACACAAAATCCTTAACTAAATCGCATTATAAACGTGCACTAAATCTCTAACAAAAATCAAGAAAAAAAAAATATTTTCATATATATAAACTTGTAATAAATAAAGGATTAGCACTTTAGGATGATGACGAATTCCTTTGCCTGCGCATTCTTTCCCCCCATGAAATATTATCACTCGAGTTCTTATAAATACTTCTTCTTTTCAGCTCTGATAGTTGAGATTGCCAACGGCTATTCCAATGACTTTTCTCTTCCATTTGCTGTTTACACAAAAGAAGCCTCACTGAGATGCACAGCAACAATAATCTAAAGAACTGCAAACTGATAACCTAATTACAGGTCTAAGTTTTCAGAAAATTCTTGAGTCCCTTTATTTTCCATTCAGTCTTAACATTTCGGTTCTCACCAAAACCTCCAAAATTCAATCTTTTGCTCATTTGTGTGAAGCCAAAATAGAGAGAGAGAGAGAGAGAGCGCACTAATGTAGAATAACCAAATCACAATTCTAATGTCTGGCTCATACAATTTTTACAAAGGAACCAAAAAGAATAGGGCAAAAAAGGGCTAACCTCATCGAGTTTGTTACGTCCACGGGCAGAAAATGCAGGGTGGAGTCCCTCAGCCATGTCACTATCATACAAGGCCCTCCTCCTAGGATCCGACAGCGTTTCATAGGCTTCCTGGACCCGAATGAACCTCTCAGTATACTCCTGGACCTTATCAGGAGGAGACACGTCCGGGTGGTACTTCCGGGCCTGCTGTTTGTATGCTTGTTTGATCTCCAATTGGGTCCCAGTTTCGGATATGCCCAGAAGATCATAGAAGCTGACGGGGCGGTCAGGTGATAGCGAAACGTTGTCAATGAAAGTGGATTTCAATGGTCTAAAACTGAAAGTCGGTCCGGGTCTGGGTTGGAAGGAGAGAGAGGAGGAAAGTGTGTCGGACGACTTGGACCGGATGGATGGAATGAAAGAGAAGCTACCATAGTTGCAGCACATTCTTCTCTATTCTTCTGTTTTTGGATATTTTCGGTTAAACTATAGTTTCCAAGGATCGTGTGGCCGGGTACCTAGTATATGTATACGCAGTTACACAAATCGGCAGGCGTGGGTTGGGGTGCGTGGAGTCTGGTTTTTTGTTTTTTCCTGTTTCTCTTTACTTTTTGGAAAATTCTACTTGTATATAATTATTGCACCTAATGGTTTCTATAATGTGATGTGATAAGCATCTGGTTGTTGATGTGCATGTGTGAAATTTGAATTAAATATTGGATCCAGTGTCATGTGTAATTATGGACACCATTATGTAGACAATTATGTACGTGTAGCACTTTTCTTATTTTTTTGGTTCTTTCATTTCTTATTTTCTTTAGCGGAGTGAAAAATAATCAAAATATTAATTTGATAGATGGGCCAAGTAACTCAAAAAAGTAACATGTAACTTTGATGGTAAAATAGCTTGAAATTTCTTGCAATAGACTAGGGTTTCAGCAAAAGGTTGTGTAATCGGGTGGTAAATATGACTTGATTTTACTCGGGCTCAAAGTCTAATTATCGATAAAAGTGATGGGACGAAAATATTTTCACAAAATGAACCATATTCGATGCAGGAACGCCCTTAACGGAGAAATTGAATCGAACTTTACTACAAGGACCATTTCACAACCAAAGATTGAATTAGGGAAAGCGATGTCTTTTTTGCACACAAACTAATGCAAATAAGCCTATATATATGTCATGCTTTGATAAGCTCAATATGTGATTCCTATATAAAGAACATAAAAGAATATTAAGTGTTTGAGAGCTTGATTGATGCATAATAGCACATATAATGAAATATTATAATCCATAGGATTTTAATTTTTTTTTTATAATATTATTCTATATTGTCGAACCAAATGTTTGTGTTCTCTAATAAACCCCTATTTGATAGAGATTAAAATCAATTTTCGGTTAAAAAATAATGAAATGTGTGATTGAAAAATTAATTACTTGTTAACTTTGATTTAAAAAAAAAAAATATTTTTAAATTTTAATTTTCACCAAACAAGGCTTTCAGCTTAATCGTTACCAAGAATTAAGATTAGAAAATTTTATGTTTTATGTTTCTCTCATTGAATACATGAAGATTAACTTTCACCATGCTCACGAACGCGTGATAGCCAATTCCAATTAATTTATTAAAGGCAGATCTTTTGCTTTAATTAAAAGAAGATCTTTTTTTCGCGGTGCAAGGAAATTGATGCCATTGTTTATTATATATATAAGCTATAGGAGGTTGATTGGGTCTGTTATTTAAGAAAAATTCAAACAACTTCATGGGTTAACTTTCAAATCAATTTAAGAAAAATCGGCCCATGTTTGTAATTCTTTGACAAATTAAATTATTTATTACAGTAATATTCTCTACCATATATTCACACAATAAAATATTCTATTCATAAAATAATAAAGTGTCTTTAAATTTTAACTTCACGTTCTTCTAAAAATACTATTCAAAACTCTTTAATTTCCTCCATAATGGGAGACGAACAGGCTCTTAGTCGTGAATCATCAGTAATAAGTCGCTTAATTAATTTGGAATTAATTATAAGTTAGTTAGATAGTAATTGTGGTTTGTTTCAATGAATAATTGACAACATCACCTAGTTGTGATCGTGAAAATCGGACCAAATCAAAATTTTCATTTTATATTGTAAGTGGGGTATGTGATCAAATCTCTTTATATTTTAAAATTTAGTCACATGGAGAACTTTAATAATAAATACTCAAACTAGACTTGCCAAATAACATATTGAATAATGTAATAGTAATTCCACCGTCACATGAATTGTTGATTAGTCGTGCTTACATATAACATTATTTTTTTATGAAATTGAAATTCAAAAGATAGGATAACTGCTGTGCAGCTATATTAACTTGCCAAATTTCTTAGAGAAATACTATTGGAGTGTGGTTGGTTGAATTAATTTCTCATGAAAAATGTCATTTTTCCATTCAAATTCTTACTTTTGGAGTGTTTGATTGACAATTTTTTCATGAAAAATATTTTTCAACTTTTGGTCCATATTTTCCTCAAAAACAAAGAAAATATTTTCTTTAGAGATGTGTATTTTTTATTTTTTAGGTAATCCGCTCTCTCATTTATCCCATCTATTCACTAATAAAAAATGGACAAATATAATATTTTTTAGGTTGAAAACTAAATAAACATCTTAAAAGTTCAGGGAACATTTTACAACCACTTGAAAATTCACGGGAATGCTTTACTATGTCAAATTCAAATTTTAGCGTTACCAAATTTACGTTCTAATTTACCGTTTGACCTTACGTGCGGAATTAATACAATTAATTGTAACAAGTCACAAATTAATTGTTGTCTAGGTGATTAAACATACACGTCCAAATTAAGCCTATGTTGAATTGTCGATTTGCGTAAAGTAAATAAAACAGTAACAACACCAACTCACAATATGATGACGGAGAAACCCCAACGTGGGTAAAACTCCACGACCAAACTAGTAGTTTCCACTATACCAATCCAGCTAGTAAAAGTTATGCCAAACTTCGTACCAAGTCAGACTTACCCCAACGTGGGTAAAACTCCACGACCAAACTAGTAGTTTCCACTATACCAATCCAGCTAGTAAAAGTTATGCCAAACTTCGTACCAAGTCAGACTTGCTGTTCCAGTCTTACGATCTACTGCCGTAGATATTGCTAATCTCCTGCTAGCTTCCCGATCTACCTCCTGCAATCCAATCTGCTGTCCAATACAGGCTCCTGGTCTCTAGCTAATTGTATCACCAAGTGGAATTCCAAGAACCTCCTGTTCTTGTCCAGTTCCTACGCTTGTCGTCCACCTCTCTCAATCTCCCAACGAGAGAGTCCCTTCCTCAATAGATGAAGAAGTCCAAGTGTTTTGTCTTCACAAATAGTGATGTTTTCCCCAACAGTGGATTGCCCGTATCACAAGGTGTTTATGGATGAATTCCTTGTTCAGTTCTGCCTTGGATCACTTGAGAGAATATTGAAGATGATATCTATGTAAAGCACAGTATGACAATCTCTCTTTCACGTTCACGACCTTTGTATTTATAGTTAGGGGCAATTAGGAGTCCTATACCGTGTCAAACTTTCCAGAAATCAAAAAGACGATTTTTCATATAACACCGTCGCTCGAGCGAACATCGACCGACGCTACTTCGCTCGAGCGGGGAGCGAGCGACGACCATTCTGCTTCCTCTCGCTCGAGCAGTGGCAGGGCGAACAGCTAGCGAACTTCTGGCTCCGCGACCTTGATTTGAACCAAACACTAAAACCCTAGTCCCTACCATCTAGCTTTGCTAAATTTCACCCTAAGTCCCTGACTTTTATAACATTGTACAATTAAGTCCCTGACTTTTACAAATTTACAATTTAATCCTGTTGTCCACAGAATCGTCAATTACACCTTTAGACCTAACATATCTAATTAATAATTTCCATACAAATAAGTTCTAAACAATTTAATACTCTAAAATTTATTTTCTTTCCATACAAATTACATACTCACTATCAAACGCACACCTAGAGTTATTATATTGCATTCGCATTTAGATAATTGTTTCTAAACTCTTTTTTTTTTTTTTTTTTTTGGATAAAATCTTAATACCCATTGCACATACTTTTATATCAATGTAAACTTGTATGTATGGAGATGAATGAAAATCAAACATTTGAGCATGAAAAGAAAAGTGAAACTGTCCTGTTAAGAATATGATTGCTACTGTTGGATTACGGTGACCAAGCTTCAGTTTGGCCCAGCCTGAATTACTGGTGATGAGACATATGTTGTGAAACTATAGTTTCAAGAATATTTGGGGGTTTGTCATGGTGGCAAATGGACCGAGCCGAATATCTACTTGTTTTCTTATTCTGCACAAGCACCCACACAAATTAGCAATGAAAATGCTTCTCTTTTGTGCCCATCTTTGATATAGTAGATTTTCTTTTCGGACTCTTTCTGTTCGTGACTTTTTTTCTTGTAGATTTTTCACGTAAATCTATATTTTTTATTGTCTATTCTAGTTTTTAATCCGTCATAGCTATGAAAGACAGATATGATTATACAAATGTTTAATAAAATTTATCAATTATTTTATTTAGCTCAAAACATAGTATAGTTCAAATATTTTTACACCGGAGGATTAACTTGAAGCTTCAACAAAGGGGTAAAGGTTAAAAATGACTACTAAAGAAAAAGGTTGGAGATGAACTTATTTCAATTAGAATATCATAAAGACAGTCGATGCAATTTTCCACTATATTTATCTTAGCAAAGATCTCTTGTAAAATAACCATACTAAGAATTTGGCTGGTTTTCTCTTAAAATTGATATTTCAGAAAAATTTCCCCCTTCAGATTGTTAGGATTTGGGTTAGTGTGTTATTTTGTGCGCTTAATTTTGAGTAAATTATTGTTTGCCATTATTTAGTGTGTGTATGTGTAAGTTAAATTGGGTTTGTTTATAAATCAATCATACTATATATGTCCATACATCATTGTAGATAGGAGTGGGATTTTTTCCCAAAACCGATGGAATTGGACTGGAACCGTTTAGAACGGTCGATTTGGTTCCGAATCTTCTAACAAACGATTTGATTTTGGAATAAATTATTAAGAACCAACTAGTTCTGATTTTAATATGGGAACCAGATGGTTCTCATAAGATTTTTTTTCTTTCTTTTTTTGGTAAAATATATGGCTCAATCTCCAAACTTTTATAAAAAATAATTGAATTCCTTCTTCATTTTAGACTCCAGCACTTTTCGTGTTCTCTTTGATTCTTCGATTCTCTCTTCTTATAATTTTTTGATTAATTGATTCTCAAGCCAAATTAGAATATTGGGTAAATCTATACCGAAATGAATTTATTTACAATATATAATTTCATTTCTACGATGCAATTTTTTTTTTCACTTTGATTACATAGCTGTTGATTCGATCGAAACTTTTCATATAGATTTTTACAACTTATAACCAACAGAACCAGAAGTTGCAATAAATTTTTAAATGGTGTCCAATTCAATGTAGGATTTTGATTTTGATGGAAGTTTGTTTAATCATTGGA